CAGAGAGCCTTCATCCTCCCCTGGCACAACGGATAAGATGGTCTGAGCCCACAGGCCCATCCTCGGCCACAAACCCCCTAGAGGGCAAGGTGGATTTCACTGGGGCCCTAGCCAGAGACTTGACCCATTGAGATGGACAGTGAACATTTGTCAAGCGGAAGGCCAAAGAGATGAAGGGCCAGCCCACGGCCCTCTTTACACAGAACACCTGTTACACACATTAGTTCATTAATGCGCCTTGGCTCCTGGGTTGGACTCCAGAGTTGCATTACTTGGCTAAGGACACTGGCTCCTGACCGCAGAAAAGCAAGCTCAGTCTGAGCCCTGGATGGGAGGATTTCAACACAAGTGATGGGACCCAGGAGAGTGACCACTACCTTTATTAGCGACTGACCAAGACATGTCAGTTTCTCAAGTTTGTTTGAACCTAATGGGTCAGCTCAAGTGAGCAAGGTCAGGTCCTAGCTGTTACCAGATGTGCACTGTGAGCAGTGGATAACATTTTCCTTGGACAACCAATATCCATTCATTCTTCTTCATAATAGTACCCCAAATTTCCTTTAAGAAACAAAATTTTCCCATGTCATCACTGGCTTTTGGTCACTGGTTGGGGGACAGCAAAGAATCCCAAGGCCAGTGAGACAGGAGATGCTTACTGGGGCTTTTGTGAATAAAAGGACTCTCTTTCTCTTCATGGTCAGCGGTGTGTGAGAATAACAGATCTGGAATCATAGCAGCAGTCTACTCCTCTATAAAGGGACAAGCCACTTTGTAGGCCCTAAGGATGCAGTCACAACTGTGCAAGATAGGGCAGAAAGAAATCAGAATGCTCAGACCAACCTTTTGAATACCTGGATCAATCCTAACCTAAAGACTAATCTACATCTGGCATTTTCAGTTTCATGAAATCATTAGGCCAATATGATTTTCCTGATTTTTGCATCCAAGATTAAGTGATAATATGATGCCACTTTCCTCACAGGCATCCTAGATCTTTTATTTCAAGTTGCATTTTCTAGGTGCCAAAGTGTAGGTCGTTCCTATCTATTCTATACTCATCATCTCCTTAGATGCTAAAGATGTTTGGAGGTCCCATTCTTCCCCAGACTCTCCCAACCCTTTCCCAATCAGATAGGTTCACAGCTTCCAAACACATTCAGAAGTTTTTAATAAACAACTTCATTATAAAAACTTTTTTTTGAAAATGTAATTTGTAAAACATTGAAAATCTACTTTAACAAAGATATGCTCTGTGCATTTTCTAATGGCACTTATACTTTACAATTAAAAACCTTGTTTTATATAAAGCCAAAAATATTCCAAGAGGTTATTCACTGTTTACAAAGTGCTAGGTTTTTGTCTTGTATCTTTCTCTTTAAATAATCTGGCATTACGCAGGAGAGGCTCCAAAGCCTTGACCACTGGGAGGGAGGGGGTGTGTATGAGAAGAAGTGGTATTTCAGGAGCTCTAGTGCCAAATATGCAGAGGTGGAGATCCGCTAAGAAAATCAGCTTATATCTGAAGAAATCAGATAGAATACTTCTTCCAAACACCTCAACAGAGGCACTAGATTATTATGGTGAATCCTCCTGTCAGAACCACAACATCCTCCCCCCCGAGCCACAGCCCCTACTCTCCAGTGGTGAAGGTCATAGCCAATCCCTTCCACAGCAGGTTCAGAGCTCCAGGAAAGGCCAGGGTGGAGTCCCAGTTGAATCTGGATTTTTCTGGCCAACACCTGCCTAAGGCAAAGTTTATTACATAAATATCCTTGTTAAAAGCAAAATATTGATCCTGTACAATATAAATTGTTTTTTTTTAAATCGTGTTTACAAACAGTTCCTAGATAAAGAGGGGAGATGGACAGGGGGTGGAAAAAATAACTACCAAAAGGGGGGGGGGGGCATGGACTTAAAGGGCTACTAGGGGGAAGTTTAGGGTAGTGGGAGAATTTCAACTTAGGACAATAACTACGAGCAAAAAAGTAATCACACCTGCTTCCCAGATTTCCATTAACAAAATGCCATTTGTAAAAGGTTGGGAGAAAAACCTCATTGGTGCTCCTTTCCCTCTCACACCTTTACGACGGGCACAGATCCTTGGTGCTGACAGAGCTGGGCATGCTGTCCTCTGGCCCCCAGGACTGCAGGCACCGTGACCAGCCACTGTGCAGGGTGGGAGGCGTCTGCCCTCATTCAGGGCAGCTCATCGCTGACTTAGAGGAGATGGTGGGGAGAGGGGACATTACCCCTTTTCCTGGTCCCTGTTTGGTGTCTGCCACATGCCCCTCAGGCTCGCCTGGCCTCAGTAAGGGTAATGAAGTGGGTTTGGTACTGAGTGTAGGATAAAGCTATTCTTATCCTTTGAACAACCAGGTCAATAAGGCTTTTTTTTTTTTCTTTCTTTTTTTAATTATGAAAAGGGAGTTTAAGGAACAGCTAGGTGGCTATGGTAAAAAAAAAAAAAAAAAAAAAAAAGGTAAAGGCAGATGTTCCTCTGCATTTGCAAAGTTCACAGTGATAGGGAAATTCCTGTGGGTGGTGAGGGCACTGAAGGAAGAGGAGAGGGAGCAGGAGGGAAAGAAGGGGAGGAGGCAAGGCTCCAATTACAAGGTTTTAAATAGTTGCTCTGCCTGTCCTATGAGTTTCCCAGCATCACTAATGGCGGAGAGGATTCAAGGAAGGGACAGGAAAGAGCAGGCGGAAAGGAGGGGTCTCCCCCCACAGCCTGAGACTATAGTCTGTGGCCAGAGGCCCATTTGCCTCTGTAAACGATGGGTGCAGGGAAGTGGTAAAGGGTGATTGGGTCTAGCGATGAAGACCAGAGACAAGGAGAATGGCAGCACTGAGTCCTGCTTGGATCCTCACATGCCATTTCCTGTAATACGAGTCCCAATAACATGCACAGCATGCAGGAGGTGGCTGCGTACCAAGTGGACGCTTTTTTAAAATAAACCTTAATCAGTCCCTGGGACTCACTGAAACTAATTTTTAGAAGCAAATTACCTAGTCTGATTTCAACCTTGCCAGATATTTATATCTGGTTTTATTTTTTAAAGGTATCCCAAGATACCCTGCCTAAATCAAAACATGCTTAGTCACTCCACATTGCTTCCAATCAGGGGCTAGAGAACTACATTTTAAGGCTTTCACCTCAAACAAAGAGTACTGGCCTGGGCTGAAGCAGAAGCCTGGGTCTTGGACCTGCTCAGTTTCTGATAATAAACCAAAGTTATTTCTAGACGGAAGGGGAAGAGGGGGGAGACTGGGAGGAAGTTGAGGCAGTTCCTCGGTAGTTTGTCCTGAAATCCTAGTGGAGAGGCCAGCCTGAGGCATCTGCTATGAGAAGTGCCCAGAAACTGCTGGCTGCATCTGTCGGAGTCAACAGTAAAGAGGTAGAAGTGTGTTTCTGAATCAGTGGAGGTGTCTCAGGAGAGTCCCACATTGGTGGTCCCTGAGCTATCTCCCTTCCATGAGTGGGAAGAGTGCCCACGCAGAACTGAGATGAAGCAGGGATGGGGTTCGGCTGGGCAAGGGCTGTGCTGTCTGTGGCAGAGAGCCCCACAGTCAGAAGAACTAATCATTTGTTGCAAGTAATCTTGCTGAGTATTGGGGGCAAAATGAAGGGGGCCACAAGAGGAAGGTGGAAGTTCTTGGATGGAGAACAGAAAAGCCTATGTACAGTGGCCCTGAGTCCAAAGGAACTGTAAAGGAGAGGAGAGAGGGGGACACGGTGGATAAGAAAAGTTTGGTGTCGGAAGGAAGCAACAATGCACCCATAGATTAGGACTCAACTATCTGCCCAGTCCTAACTTTCTGAAAACTCCTCTTCCCACAACTTCCTGGAAAGGGGACAGGTACGAGACAAATGAGGGGTTCACACCCTCTCCTTTGCTATTCACACCAGCCTAGAACCGAAGCCCCTCCTTCTAAGACTCATGATAACAGCTCATGATGCTCATGGTAGGGGTTAGGGGATGGGGAGGTGATGGAAGTGGGCGTGCCTTTTATTTCTTCCCCTTTCCAGTTCAAGAGGAGAATGAGGGGGTCATGATGTATACTTGGAGAAAAGTAGAATTGCAGACCTGTGAGAAAACTGCTCCAATCTTCTTGCCTGTCTCCCGCAGACACTGCTGAGGAAGCCAGGAACAGACAGTCACGGAAGATGGCAGAGACTGAAGCAGTCCAAAGTCAGTTTATTTCCCCACAGGGGAAAAATATGACCTCAAGTGAAGAGAAGTCAGTGAGACCCGACTCCGCCTTGTAAACAGGGCTCCGGTTAACACCAGGTACCAAAAGGCTCCAGCTGGTGCCAACTGGAATGGACTGGTGGGAATGAATTCACGGTGTGTAAACAATGTTCACTGCAATCATTCTAAGGCTAACAGCTCGGCAAGGGAGGTGAAATGGTGTGTCTGAAGCGACTGTGTAAACAGTACTGTTGCTGGACAACACTGACGGAAAATGGAGGTGCTGGTACAGGAAGGATGGGATAATGGGGAACAGAGGCCTTCTCTCCTGCCCGCTGGTTGAAAGCAGGTGATGGAGCCAAGTGACCCTCTGCCATCAGGGCCTGACCAACTGTTGGGTCTGCAGGTGGGGACCAGAAGGCGGGCTTCTTCGGCTATTTTTCTCGAGGTCATCCAAAGTGAAAGCCTCTGTGTCTCCAGCAGGTCACCCCTTCTCCAAAGAGAATGAGGTTCTGACACTTTGGAGAAAGAGAGGACTAAGTGTGGCTCCCGATTCAGATTAAAAAAAATAAAAGTAAAAATACCTGAAGTCCTATAGTATGTAATCTTTTCATGGGGTTGGGGCTCAAAGCTCCTCTTGGAACTGATCCTGGAGCCTGAACCCCGAACCAAGTGCTCATACAGATACTGGGGTTTTTTCTGTCTGAACCCAGCTCTGAAAGCTCAGCTGCCGTTATGGGGGATGCAGATAGGATGGGTGCTGAAGCACCCTGACAGAGTTCAAGACTGAACTGAGGGCCTCCTTGGGGGCTACTGGAATGCCTGGTGGAAACGAGGCAGGGTGGTGGTGCTCAGGCCGGAGGTGAAAACAGGAGGCAAGGAGTGCAGAGGCCCGAAGTTCAGAGGTCCCCCAGCTCCCGGGGAATCTTGAGGCTGAGCTTGCAATGTGGTGAGCAGGGGCTGTGCCTCAGCCTGGGAGTAGCCCATGACCAGGCCTCCTGTGGCCCCGGGAGGGTTACAGGAGGGCAGGTTGAGTGGAAGAAAGCCCAGTAAGTGGGAGAAGTCCACATTAGCAGCGCAGAGGGCCTCAGAGAGGTTGGCAGGGCTCTTGGTGAGCAGTGCTTCATCTAGGAGGGCCGCAGCTGCCGCCGGCTGAGGTGAGGCGGGCTGGGGTTCTGCGGATGAGAGAGACAGGCTTCCAGGAAGTTCCGCCATAAAACTATCCACCTCCACTTTGGGCAATTTGTCGGGCAAGTATGAGGTAGATCCAAGCTGGTATTTTGGAGGAAGCTGAGCTGGAGAAGAGATAGGTGAAGATTCCAGAGGATAGCTCATACCCATGGGCAGTGTGTTGTGCACCAGGGAGTGTGGCATGCCTGCACTGGGCATGGTAGGGATGTGGGCGCCATACATGCCCATGGGTAACATACTAGGGAAGGCCTTGGCCCCCATCATGTCCCGAGAAGCCATGCACAGCACAGGGCTCAGCTCTTCCTTCACACTGACGGTGGAGCTGCAGCTGAGTAGGCCTAACATGTCCACTGGCTCTGTCTTAATTTTGAGCAACTCCTGCGAGTGGCTCTTCTTGACATGCCGTGTCAGGTGGTCCTTGCGGCCAAACCGCTGGGCACAGTACTGGCAGAGGAAGTCCTTTCGGCCTGTGTGCACCACTAAGTGCCTCCGCACATCCTTACGAGTATAGAAGCGCCGGTCACAGTGGTCACAGGGGTGCTTCTTTTCCTTGGCACCCCCTGCTACCCGGCGTGAGTGAGCCTTCAGGTGCTCTAGCAGGGCCTGGGTACTCTCAAAGTTCTGCAGGCACACCTTACAGCTGAGGTCACCGTTGCTAGCGGCATGCATGGCCAGATGGCGCCGGTAGCCCAGCTTTGTATTGTAATTCTTACCGCACTCGGAACAGTGAAGAGCCTCTTTGTTGGGGTCGTGGGTCTGTAGGTGGTTCCGGAGATGGTCCTTGCGGTGAAACATTTTATCACAGTACATGCACTGGTGTGGTTTTTGGGCTGAGTGGGTAGCCATGTGCCTGGAATAGGGATGAAGGAAAAGAGAGACGAGATCACAGGGCTAGCCAGACAACTGAGGTGCCTATTATCAGGGAACCAGATATAAAAATTATGGTAGGGCCATGCAATGGAATGGATGGAATACCATGCCAACTATACACTGAGTGGCCAGATTATGATGATCTCTGAACGCATAATAATCTGGCCACTCAGTGTATATTCTATATAATAAAAGGCTAATATGAAAATTGTCCCCTCGACCAGGAGTTAGACCAGCAGGCAGGCCGTCCAACCGCCCATGTCCCCTCTCCCTGGCCAGGCTGGCGGGACCCCACCCATGCACGAATTCATGTACCGAGTCTCTAATATATATCTCAAACACACACACACACACACACACAACTGAGTGGCCAGATTATTATGCGTTCAGAGATCATAATAATCTGGCCACTCAGTGTATTCTAGATATCCTTGCCCATCTGAAGAATTATATATAGGATGGGAGGCAAAAGTAGGTTATAGCTGTCTGTAGAAAAAAAAATAATAAATAATAATACAAAAAACTATTTCATATCCTCACACTATAAACCTACTTTTGTCCCACCCTATATATACTATTTTCTTTCAGCCTGTGTATTTAGTAGCAAAACATCAGGAACAACCTAAATATTCATCAATAGGGGTCTGGTTAAATAAATTACGACAAATTCATAAAATAACTCAACTTTTAAAAATAAGGCAGTTTCCCATGTACCCTCAGGGAAAAGCTCCTAAAATACAGTAAATGGGAAAGCAATGAGACAGAAGACTACATATAGACTGGCACTATGCATACAAAAAGAGGGAAATATGTGTAAGTTTGGTTATATGTGCTTAAAATATTTCTGTAAGGACATAAAAGAAACTGACAACATTGGTTGCCTTTGGGGAGAAGACACATGCGGCTTATGGGTGTGATGGAGCATTTTCATTGTACCTTTTAGTACCTTTCGAATTATGTGAATGTATTTCCTTTTTAATAAATTATATTTAAAAAATTGTAATGACACAATAAAGGGAAAATGAAGTTTAGATAAACTTCCTGATCTGGGGCTGAGTCAAAAAAGGAAGTTCAATATAATGTATGCAATACAATCCCTTGTGAAAATAAAGAAGGAATACATGTTTGAATGCCTCAGCAAAAACACATAAGAAACTGACTTTCCCCCCGCACCTCTCTGGGTGCCTTTGGGGAGGAGAATAGTGACTTTAAATGTGAAGACCAGTCATTTTTCACTGCATGTCCATTTGTTTCACTTAAATTGTTTGCCATGTAAACCAGCAACATATTTTAAATGTTTTCCTGGTACAGCAGTGTCCGTTGGTTTACCTGCTCCCTGCTGGCTGGAAAACCGCTGAGAGTCTAGGAATGACAATCCAGAGCTCCATAATACATTCAGGATCAACTCAGCAAGACTTTTAGGGCCCACCATTTGCTAGGCCCAGTGTGAGCTGAGTCATTAACCTTGTTCCCCATAAGAGGCTGAAAGCATAGAGCAGTCCCACCTATCAGTAAATAAGTGGCAGAAACTAAATTTAAACACAGACCTTCCTGAGAACTGGGTTCACTTAGGTATGCCACCACTGTTTCTAGTATGGCACCCAGTGACCTTTTCTACCTAACGAGCATCAAACCTCCCCATTCCTCTCATGCTCCTCTCTTGCTCACGCATATGAGGGTTACTATTGACCTCCTATGACATAACTGACATGATAATGTATGAGAAGTGCTGAGTGACCCACAGCCTACTTCCCTCATTTAGCAAGCAAAGAAACTGAAGCTCAAAGAGGTTCAGTAACTAACCTAAGATCACACAATAGGTGGAGTCAGAGGTCATGCCTCCTGGACTAGGACCTTTATTACAGCCTCCCATTGTCACCTAGACTGTCACTATGACTGTTTATGATGGAAGCATTTGAGATCAGGCTCCCCAGCATATATCATCACTTTGGTTCAAATAAACACATAAAAATTCTAAAAAAAAAAAAAAAAAAAAAAAAAAAAAAAAAAAAAAAAAAAAAGATGGTCTAACAGGACAGCTCCAACAGGCATCTACCTAAGACAATGGAGCACACAGAATCAAAGCATTCCTGAGGCCCACAGAACTGTCATGAGGGCAATTCTGGGCCCCTACTCCCCTGTTACCTGTTTTAGTTCCTTCCTATCAACTGTTTTCCAGAGAAGGAACTGAGGCTTTCTGTGGTCACCTTGTTCATATATTTACCTATTTGCTCTCTGTCTACATTAAGACAGTAAACTCAAAGAGGGCCAGCACTCCCATCTATCTGTGCCTGGTATGTAGCAGGAGCTCAATAAATCATGATAGATGAATAGATAAAAGACTGCATCAGGCAGCTCATCTCATTTGTAAGGAGCATATTCATGTTCCTTTAATAGAAGAGCAAGGATAAAATCAAAATTGCTTTTAGTTGGCCCTTTTCTCTTCAAAGCTGCTCTGCTTACATTCAATTTCACTTCAGCAGGGGTTCTTGGGCTTACAAGTTTCAGGAAAGCCACCGACCCAGAGGACACCAGGGACTCTACAGACACAGAAGTAATCATCTGGATGACAGGCTGGTTCAGTAGAAGAGGCACGGTGGTACCTAAGAAGCTATGACTGTGGGTAAGTTACTTTCCTACTCTGAGCCTCCACTTTAAAATTTATAGATTAGATCACAGCATCTCTTTTTCCTTCTAAAGTTCTAAGATGGATTCCTAATTTCTGGCCAAGATTTTCACTGTTACCTTACAGGAAACTGGTATAGGGAAAAAAAATGTTCAATCTAGTTTGTTCATGGCTATCTGATATTGTACCCACACATTCTAGTGTTTGAATAAAAAAAAAAAAAAAAAACACCACCATTATTTTTTAGTGGGTGACCCCAAATGGTTAGAATTCAGGGTACATTTATGAGACAAATTACCCTCTCCTCTTCTCTCACACACCGATTTGGCTTTGTCCTCTGGGAACCCCAGGACAGAAAGAGGTATGGGAGTGTCACCTACCTATACAGCTTATACTTGGAGGCAAAAGACTTGCCACAGTGCAGCTGAGGGCAGCTATATGGTCTCTGCTCTGGATGGGGAAGGCTGTGAGGCCTCAGCTTCTCCCCATTTGAGAAGGGTGTCCCCGAGATTTCACATTGGCACTTCACTTGACTCTCCGCCTCCCGGACCCGAGGCCTGGGAACTATTTTCCAGCCCACTTCCTCCTGCTTTGCATCTTGAATCCAGGGGGGGACGCTGGTGAAAAATGTGGTCATGGCAAGGCTAATGGCGAAGGGCCATGTTACTCAGAAAGCCTCCCCATCGGCTTCACACGGGCTCTCTGCTCTGTCACAGCTTCCAACGCAGCCTTCAGAAAACAATCTCTTCACCTGAAATATTAGAACACCTGGTGTTAGGGAGCCCAATATATGGGTTCTGGAGGCAAACAGAGCCCCGTCCCAATCCCAGCCCTTCCAATTACTTCCCTGAACGGTTTCCTCACATACAAAATAAGCTTAATAATCTCTTAAATCATAAGAATGTTTTTGTTTTTTTAAAAAAAAGTATACTTTATTGATTTCTTTTTTTAATATATATTTTTTATTGATTTTTGTACAGAGAAGAAGGGAGAGAGAGAGAAACATCAATGAGAGAGAGTCATCGATCAGCTGCCTCTTGCACACCCCCTACTGGGGATATGCCCGCAACCAAGGTACATGCCCTTGACCGGAATCGAACCCGGGACCCTTCAGTCCCCAAGCCGACGCTCTATCCATTGAGCCAAACCGGTCCCGGCCATAAGAATGTTTTGAAGACTAAATCGGATAATATAAAACACTCAGTAAGGGCTGGGAACCTACTAAGAGCTTAGTGGTAACCATTATTCACTAGTACCACCTAGGCTACTGGAAACAAGGTAATCTGAGGAAATAAAAGCCCTAAACTCCAAACTTTCTCTTCTACATCCTTCCCACTAAACTTAAGGGATAGCAGCATATTCTCTTCCTCCTCGTTACCCTAACTCCTCCTCACCAGCTATTTTCTAGAAAATAGTGGGTGAGGAGGTGCTAAGGATCAATAAAACGCCCAAAAGGCAACAGAGAAGAAGGAAAAGGAAAAGCCTTTACTTAGGAAATTTACACCCTGAAAAGTCAGCCCCTGTGCCAGATGTGTTGTTTTTTTGTTTTAAATATGCCTCCTGCATGCCCCCTACTGGGATCAAGCCCACAACCTGAGCTTGTGCTCTGACGGGGAATCGAACTGGGGACCTCTTGGTCTATAGGATGAAGCTCAATCCACTGAGCCACACCAGCCAGCCCAAATATGTTTCTTAGCAGCACATCCACATCAAGAGATTCTATCTAAGGAGGCAACTGCACACTCAGGATTTCCACTAAACCAGTGTTGGTCCCATCCTGCCCTTCACTGCTTCTCTGAGTCTTTTTGTCTCAAGACCAGACCATTCTTCTTTAGAAAGCCTGTCCAATACCCCAAGCTGCTAGTGGCCCCTCCTATAGAACTTCACAGTGCACATTCATTTCTCCATTACAAGCAGGTTAACAACATACTTGCATTAGAACTTAGTTTCCTCCACCAAACTCTGATTCTTTGAGGGCTCAGGACATCTCTTTCATCTCCATACACCTAGCATCTAAAAAAGGACCCTCAACTTTCTCTTAGGAGAGCAAATTAATCGTTGAATATAAGTTGATTCTCATAGGCTTAACTTAGATCAGGAAGTTCTGGTTTAAACTGGATTACAGCACTTCCAAAGTGTGAAGTCATTACCCTGAAGTATGATCCTTTCTTTTATTAAGTAGGAGGATTGGGGAGGGGTGAGGCTGGAGCAAGTGTCAGTACTTCTTTCCTGACATCAACTCAGAGGAGGAGGATAGGAGTTACCAAACTGACTCTCAAAAGGGGGACAACAGATCCACATTCACACTCATAAGCTCATCACAGAGAACCAATTGCAATGCAACTTGCTACAACAGGGATTCCCTTTGAAGAGGTCGTGCCAAAATATGGTCATGAGACCTTTTCCATGAGGGAGCAGAGAGGGTATCTGGGGGTTGTCCACGAGAATCTGGGGAGGGAGCCAACCATACACACTAGCTGTGAGCCACAGAATGCTTGCTCAGCTCATTAGCAACTGCTGCTTACAGTGACCATTCATCCAACAGACTGGCCTTGAACGAGATGATAGGATCAGCGGGTTCATGCCCTAGAGAGCTTTGCTCATCATTAACATGAGCTATGTCCTGTTCAGGAACCATTCCACTTGTTGAAGAAACATTGCAATGTAATATGATAAACATTTCCCCATCATGAGTGAAGATTTGTCTAGAATGATTTGCACAAAGGTGACCACACTTTGCATCAATCACATGCTGGTGAGGTATAGGTAGCACCAAAAACTAGTCCCACTTGAGCCTTCAAGTCAAGGTCTATTTACCTACTTCATTATAAACCTCAAAGGTCCCTGACGCCTTGCTTTCAATGTTTAAGTATCCTTCTTCACAAGGGTAGAATTACCTGTTTATAATACCAGCAATTACTGTGCATCTTGGAATTGGGTAGATAGGAAGCTCAAGTTTGAATGTCTATTTTGGAGGGGATTTCCTTTACCTTCAAAATCAAATTCTTCTTCCTCTTGATATCTGAAATCATGCACCTCAACCTCTGGAAAGTTGGGAATGGCAGCCAGAGGGAAGCAAGTTGCACCACTCTGACTAATGTGAGAGGGGAGCCTGGCCCTGGAAATTCCGCACAAACTCAGAAAGAGAGCAGTACATCCCCCACCTCCCACACGTCCACCTCATCTGTTCTGAACAAGCACAAACAAGACACAGCAATTTAGTATGAGTAATGGGCTTCTAGGAAACAGGCTCACGAGGTTGTACTCATAGAACCAAAGGAGGAAGCCAACAGCCATGTGCTTGCCTTGATCTGCATTTAATGGGGCTATGGCTTTCAAAAGAAAATAGCCAACACCCTGATCCTTCTTACCCTAGCTTTTAAAAAGGCACAGCGCAAGTCCTTACCTACAGTCACTGAAAAGCTGTTGGATAACCAAAGCTGCTAGTGTTATCTTAAGAAAGTCCTTTTGGGAATCTAGTCTCTCTCCCTCTATCCTTTGTTTGCAAACTCCTCTCCTCCAGAGAGAGTCCTGAGCTTTTCTCACATCATCAGGCCTATTCCTTCAGTTCTTCCTTGGCAAAACTGTCAAAGAATTCTGCTTCTCTTTCAAAGCTACTCTTCTGGTCTCACATGCTAACTTTAACTACAGAGAAGCTGACAGAACCTGTTCCCATAAAACAAACACAATCACTCCCAGTTACTGGTATAGCTCAGTATATTTTCATCCTAAGATTCCTTCTGGCACCTGATCTGAAGAGGGAGGTAGCATGGAAAGAACCTTGGACTTGCTATCAGAAGAGCTGCCACTCACTGGCTGTGAAACTATGGGCAGGTTATTTTGTTTCTCTGAACCTCCGTTTCCTCAATTTCTAAGATAGAGATTTATTGAGAACATTTGAGATCTTGCTTTCTGACCTCAGTCTGGCTGAAATAAATGGTTCTAAATTTTTTTAAATAAAATTGCGATGTATTATACTTAACTATAATATTCTCATGGAGGACTAAGTGAAATAATACTCCTGAAAGCACCTGACATATAATGTGTGAACACAGTGTCATCTCTGACATCTAGTTTGTGTCTGCCTCTCTTCCACACGGGGCCTGAGTAGGGCTCCTTTCTTCCCTCCCCTTTAATGTCACTTTTCAGACCTCAGCTTCCTTCCCTTCCCAGCATCTCCCCAGAATGCAACCTTCCTCTTTTCCCCTCACAATTAACCCTCAGTGATCCCCTCTAACCAGTCCCTCTTTACCTCACCTTCCTGGGCCAGGGTTCTCTCCCTTTAGGCATCTCTTCTATTATTAAGTCTCTGTGCCACAAATACAAGTGTGTGCTAAAAGCTCGATGGCCATCTTTGGAAGTTGAAAGGAGACCAGTTGCTGCCTAGTCTGTCTGTCCTCTGTTGTGAGCTACCATACCCGCTGCCTTCTGATGAAACTAGTTTTTATGATGTTACATCATCTCTATAGAAACTGTGTTCTTTCTCCATTATTAGCCTATTTCCTCATCTGTAAAGCTAAGAATACTAACCTCACAGGCTCGCTGTAAGGATTATGATAGTCAGGTATGCAAAGAGCTCAGCATAGGGCCTCTCTTGCAGTAAGTGCCCAACAAAAGGCAGCTATTATCTTTGCCTTTGTATTGAGTTGCCTGTTCCCACCTTCTGCTGCCACACTAGAATTCTCCCAAACCCTCTCAAAACGCTGTTGAGAAACAGCCCTCCTACAGCAGGGAAAGGGTTAATCTCTAAGTGTTCTTAACTAGAGAGACCCACAGAGGATTAACAGCTCCACTTCAGTGACTACCCTAAAATAGCTTTTATCCCTCCTGCCTAAGAGCTACTTGGGGATCTGAAGAACTCAATTCAACACCTGCCGGGGAGGAAACACACCCTGGAACCCATTCCTTGGGGCGGATAGAATCTTCCCTTAAGCAGAACCCAAAATAGCAACTGGGAAAGAGGGGGGAGAGAGGGGAGAGAAACTCAACAACAAACAGATCCTGACCTGGGCACCAGAAATGAATCCAAAGGACACAGTGACTGGCTGGAAAACAGTGGGGAGCAGAGGATGAGAGGAGCTGCCCCCCTCCCTCACTCACTCTCTCACACTGGGGAGTGGTGCGAGAATTAAATTACAGGGGCAGGAGAGTCTCGGTGGTTTGCATCATTCATTCCAGGAGACATCAAACTGGATCAGCAGGGGTTGGATCTACTCTGGGGCTGCTAGTTCTGTCAGTTTAGACGGGTCCCTCTCCGGAGTCCCTTCAACTCGCCATTTCCTCTCATTCCCGCTGCCGCCTCCTCCTCCTGAGGAAGCCTTGAGAAAAGGGCTGTAACAGCCCCATTTTCACCAAGAGGAAAGCTGCTTAGACACCCACCCCCACCCCGGTCCCAATCTGGTGGCCTTACCTAGGGGGATGGGGGTGGGGGATTAGAAACCCAAGGCCAGCCTCTATCAGAGCCCTGAACTGACAGATGGAAAAACACACAAGCCAGAAGACAAGCTACACTGGCAGGTGAAAGCACCAACAGCTCCCCCACACCAGTTGTCCCCACATCGTCCACCTTACGGGTCCCTTCCCCCACCGCGCTGGGGCCACAGCGTGGGGCTGGAACCGCAGAGAACAACGCGGCTCCCCCGGCAGCTTCCAGACTCTAGAGTCTAGAAGGTTTCATTCTTCTGGGGCTGGGAGAGAGGGGAGTGGACGCGGGGCGGCTGCCGGGTTTGGAGATCTCAGGAATAGGAAAAAAGGGCAAGTATGGCAAGGAATCATGAGCAAGCTCACTAGATCTCTAAGGGATCCCCCCCCCCAAAAAAAAAAAAGTCACTGGGGAATTATGAGGACTGGAAAGTTCCAGATAGTCACAAGTGAATTCCCCGAATTTCAAGAGTCCGGACATGAGTGTTCGGATAGAAGTTACTTAAATTTAGGGAATAGGGTCACCGCGGAGGGAACTGCAGAAGGTCCTATCTGGGTTTCTAAAACCAAAACCAAGTATTTGAGGGAAGCCTCGAAAAGGGTTGTGAGGTTTTGGAAAATGAAACAGAGGGTAAAGAGCGGGCTCTGGAGCGGGGAGGGGGGTCTGTGGGTCTGAGTAGGCGTGTCCGCGGGGAGGGAGCAGGTGCAGCTTCTCTGGGTCTCCAGGGACCCCGGGGCCGGGGCGGCGGACCCTTCGGGCTGCGTCTCCAAGTCTCGGGAGGGGAGTAGGGGGTGCCGTGGAGTTTCTTCGCGCCCCCCAGACCCAGGTATCCGGTCCGGAGAGAGTTTTCGTCACCATGGGGCCTATCTGGGCCCGGGCTGACGCAGAGGGGGCCCCGGTCGGGGGTGTGGACGGCCGCGCTGAGGGGCCCAAGAAGAGGGGCGCCGTCGCTCCGGGTGCCGGGCGCGCGCGCGGGCGCAACGAGACGGCCTCCCGCCCCGCTCCCCGCTGCCCCCTGGGGCCCTCGCCGGCACTCACCGCGCTCGGGGCCCCGCACTGCGGGCCGGGCCGCGCTCGGGCTCCGCCGGGCCCGCTCAGGCCCCGGTAGTGGCGGCGGTCGGGCCATTGTACGGTGCATTGTGGGAGCCGCGCGAGCGGGCGCTCGGGCAGTGGAGGGGGCGGTGCCGCGGGGTCTCTATGGTCCCGCCCGCCCGCCGGCTAGAGCGGCCGGGGCGGTTCGCGGGCGGCGCGCGCGGGGGCCGCCGGGAGCGGGGCGGGCGCGCACGCCCCTCCTCCTCCCTCCGCCTCCGCGCCTCGCGCGCCGGGGCTCGGGAGCCGACCTGGGCGCCGCCGCTGCCATGGCGTGGCGGGCCTTACCGCTGCGTGCGTTTCTCCTGCCGCTCCTGCTGCCGCTTCCGGGGCTGCCCGCGGGCTCCTGGGATCCGGCCGGCTACCTGCTCTACTGCCCATGCATGGGTAAGGCCTCCCTGCCCGAACGAGGAAGCGGAGCCCCGAAAAGCGAAGCCACTCCTCGGAAGCGCCCCGCGCCTCCTTGGCTGGTCCAGGAGAACCCAGCCGTGGGCACCGAGGGGCCTCCGTGCCCAGCCTTCTGTTTGGCAGCAGATGGGGAAACTGAGGCCAAGAGAGCTTACATGCCTTGCGCAAGGTCTAAGCCAGCCTGGAGCCCAGTAAATGGAATTAGTAGGGCCAGAACTTGATGCCACTGGCTCAACGAGGACTCTGGGCGATGCTTTCATTCATTCGACAAATATTTACCCGGCGCTTACTCTGTGCCAAGCCCTGTGCTCTGCTCTAGGGATATGGCAATAAGACCGAAAACCCCATGGCCTTGGAGAGCTTCCATTTTAGTGGGGAAAGACAGTCAGTAAAAGAGAAACATTTAAAATAATAAGTAATTGCATATTACTTAGGGAAAACAATGTAGAGAAAGGTAAGGAAGAATCTGATGGCCAGCTGAGGGATGCAATTTAAACGGGATGGTGGACCATCACTGTAAAAGTCAAGCCTTAATCCTCCAGACCATGATCATTTGGACCTCTGCCCATCTTCATCACACCCTTCTCCTTTCCCAGATTCTCCAACGGCACACTCACCCCTTTCTATTCCTCACACATACTCAGGTCTTGCAGCCTGTGCTGTTCCCTACACCTGGTTCACCCTCTTCACTCTGCCAGACCAACTCCTTCCCATCCTCAGGTCACAGTTTAAATGTCACCAGAAATAGCTTCACTAACCTCAACCGAAATAATCTACTTCTTACTGTTCATCACCACATTTTTTCCATTCCTTCTTGAAATTACAAAAGTTTATCACTATATATTTATTTACACATCTGATGTCTCCCTACCTGGACTGTGAGCACCTTAAGGGCAGAGACCTTGCCCTTCTTGCTCACTCCTGTATTCTGTCACCTAGCAGACAGCCTGGCACAAATATTAAATATTCAATAATATTTGTGGGATGAATGAATGGATGCCATGCTAGGAATAACAAAACAAAAAAAAAAGTAAAAAAAAAAAAAAAAATCAGAGAGGATCCTTGCTGAGGAAACAGCCACTACAAAGGTCAGAAAATGGGAAAGGACCTTCTAGGATAAGTAAAGAACTGGTAACTCAAATCCAAGATGGGAAGCAGAGGAGGGGGCAAAGTAAATGCAGCAGGTAAGTGAAAGGATCCCAGTGAATGAAGCATTGGAGTTGCCCCTTTCGTAGGTGAATAAAGATAGAGGTGAAAAGGCACTCTTGGAGGGAACAGCAAAAAACAAAGGCTTGGGTTGAGGATGTGGAGAGCATGTTTGGGAAACAGAAGGGAACTGGGAGGGGCTGAGGCAGAAGGGACAGGGTCTGAAGAGCCTGTTAGGCATCTAGACTTGATCCCACACTCCCAGCTCCCTTGGCCTTCCCCAACCCTGGCTCTGCATCCTTTATGAGCCCTGCATTCACCATGCCCTCGATGTGCCAGGCCTCACCTCTCACAATATACCAACCAGGGCGCTTCGGGAACCAGGCTGATCACTTCTTGGGCTCCCTTGCATTTGCAAAGCTGTTGAACCGCACCCTAGCTGTACCCCCCTGGATTGAGTACCAACATCACAAACCTCCATTTACCAATGTGAGTACCTCCCGCTGACCTTGGCCCTTGTCCACCCTTTCCCAATCCCGTTCGCCTCTGCTCGATTCCCAAGTCCTTTGGGCTTTACCTCCCACCCCTCTGTGCTTGCCCTACCGCCACCCAGAACTGTCTTCTCTGGAATACAGTAATATTGATCCTGCGCCTGCTGTCTGCCAGGTACTGTTCTGAGCACTTGCATAAAGATTAGCTCTTTTCTCCTTCATCTCATTCCTATGAGGAAACTGACTTAGAGAGATTAGGTGAATTGCCCGAGGTGACACAAGTGAATAGTAGAACTGGAATTCTCAGGTGTCTGATTTCTAGAGCTTGTGACCCGAACCTAAAGCTCCATTCATTTCCAGGCCTTGTTGATCCCACTCTTTGTGCATCCCATTAGTCAAAGATGATGGATGCGCTGGGACCAGTTTGGCTCAGTGGATAGAGCGTCGGCCTGCGGACTGAAGGGTCCCGGGTTCGATTCCAGTCAAGGGCATGTACCTTGGTTGCGGGCACATCCCCAGTGGGGGGTGTGCAAGAGGCGGCTGATTGATGATTCTCTCTCATCGATGTTTCTAACTCTCTGTCCCTCTCAATTCCTCTCTGTGTAAAATCAATAAAATATATTGTTTTTAAAAAAGATGATGGATGCTATCATCTGTTTAGAAAGATAAACTGAAGCACAGGCTCGTTAAATAACGGGTCCAAAGCCACAAACCCAGACTCCAACACCACCTTTCATCCCATCAGGGGATCCCTGAGCTTAGTGATGCTCAGCATCTTCTAATTCCTTATTCTTTGTGTCTTCCACTGTCCAGTGTCTGTCTTTGTTCACACTGCTTCCCCAAGGGTCTGGCAGTAGTAACTGAAGTAATATTTAATGAATTGACTTTACAAGTTTTCAGTAAACTTTAAAAATTATATTTAGGCTCTAGCTGGTTTGGCTCAGTGGATTGAACATCAGCCTGCAGATTGAGGGGTCCCAGGTTTGATTCCGGTCGGGTGCATGTACCTTGGTTGCAGGGACATCCCCAGAAGGCAGCTGTGCAGGAGGCAGCTGATCAATGTTTCTCTCTCATCGATGTTTCTAGCTCTCTATCCATCTCCCTTCCTCTCTGCAAAACATTAATGAAGTGCATTTTTTAAAAATTATACTTGATATGTATAAAACATTATATCTCATTTTTATAGTCTTTTCTTTGCATGGGATTTATTTTTTTCCTTTGCATGCTTGTAGTTAGAGGGTTGGTTTTTTGTTTTTGTTTTTTTAATAAAGGTTAAAAGCCAGAATACCCGAGATCATAACCTGGCATGGCCACTTACTGGCTGTGCAGACTGGGCAGGGTACTTGATCTCTTTGTATCTTGGCTTCCTCATCTTTAAAATGGGCTGGTATAATCGCTTCTCGGCCTTTTGGCTAAGATCAAGTGTAGTATCTGTTCTTATCAGTTTAAAATGGGCTGGTATAATGGTTGCTACCTTCCTAATTTGAGTTAGAGATTGTGGCATGCCTTGAATGTTGTATGTGTCTCTCTTAAAATCATCCCCCTCTTTTTCTCACCTTTTCTTCTCAGCCAAGTCTTTTGGAGTCTACACTTCTTACTTTCTACAGGTTACTTACCCTGCCCCAGTGAGGCTCCCCTTACCTACTGAGACCGTTCTCACAGAGGGCCCAGGATCCCAGAATTGCCAAAGCCAGTCTTTATCTCAACCTGGTGGTGCCTGGCCTTGTGAGCCTCTCTCCTTCCTGAACCTTACTCCCCTGGCTTGCAAGATACGGCTTGTTCTTGCTTCAATCCTGACCTCTCAGCATTTTTCTCTTTGCACTGTATCGGGGGCTGCTGAGTCTCTGCCCACTGTTTAAATGCTGGTGAGGAGTCTTCTCTTTCTGTTTTCTTGTTAACTATGTGACTGCAGATGAGTTCACCTGGGTTTCTTCCTAAGTGACCTGGAGATGGTTGTATTCCTCTTCTTAGAATTAGATGGGCAAATCCATGAAATTGTAATGAGTTACAGCACCTGGTGCTAAGTCAGCACTCAGTAAATCTTAGTTGCTATTATTACTGTTATTTGCTTTGCTATAAATTGCTGTTGACTCTTGTGGCTTTCACTATTATCTACGTATCTTCTAAGTTTATCTGTGGCCCAGACTCTCCTCTGACCATTGGCCTGTTTCCAACTCCTAGGCCTTTGAGTCTGACTGTTCCAACGATACCTCAAATTTTCAAAGCCAGATCTTGGCATCTTTCCCCTTAAACTTGTGTTACCTCCTATATCCCAAGCTTTAATGTGTGTCACCTTCGTTCATCTGGATACCAAGCCAGGAATCTATAAGTTATCCTAAATGCTTTGCTCTCTACTTCACTTTCTTCTAGAATTTCCATGCCTCTCCACCTTCACTTGGACTTATGTGTGATGCTCAGAAATATATGTTGAATGAATACTTGAACAAACAGAAGGACCATTTTAGTAGCCTCTTAACTCCCCCCTTTATTTTACCATAGATACGCTCTCTCTCCTCCGCCACCAGAGTGATCTTTCAAAAAGGCAAATCTCATATTATTTCTGCTTAAAATCATCCAGCAAGATCATGTTGCTAATAGTTAGAGTTTCCAAAATCTGTTCCTTGGAATGCCAATGACTCATACAAGAAGTGTGCAGTGGTTAAAACACGTTGGAAATTTTTATTATCAAGTTCCCATCTCCCCAAAATTGGGGATTCAGAATGTACACTAGCATTATTTAAGGCCCTGAAAAGCCCTATAGTAAGGAAACCAGCTTAATGCAGTATTTCCTAAGCCTCTGGTATCTTTTTATTGCAGAATCTTTTACCCACCTAAATTAGTGGAACATGCTTGGGAACCCTGACCTATAGGATAAAGTCAAAGTTTTATTCTCTGGTGTTTTAAGAAATTCTTTTTAATCCAGAAAAAAAAACAACACAGATTAATATCACCATCTATGTTTCTACCACTTGAAGTGATAATTGTTAACAGTTTCTTATCTTTGCTACAGATAAAAGATAAAATCTCTCTTGGCTCTTGAGGCTAATCCCAACCCCTCTCTCCACCCTTAAGGCAACCACTATCTTGGATTTAGTGTCTTTGGTGTGACTCTTCCAAGTTCTTTCCTGTATTGGAGAGTCTTTGTTCCCATCTCCTGGTGCAAAGTGCGAGAATTTCTTTAGGGCAAATACCTGAGGTGGTGGAAGGAGCCATTTAAACTCTATTAGATGCTTCAAGATTACATTCCAAAGTGGTTGTTCCAAAATGTACACTGCAAGTTCGAAAATGCCCCTTTCCTCACATCTCTCCCAATAATTAGAGTTAAGCTTCTACATTTTTTCCTAATCTCCTGGGTGAGAAATAATGCCTTATTGTTGTAATTTGCCTTTTCCCCAATTACTAGTGAAGTTGACCATCTTTTGAGTGTATTGGCTAATTGGGTTTTCTTTGCTGTGAGTTGTTCACTCCTGTCCTCTGCCCATGTTTTCTCTTGAATCATTTCTCTTTTTTTCTTAGAGCTCAGTAGGCATTTTCTAACCCAAGGGAAATTACCCTTTGTTCTTTACAGATATCTTATCCCTGCCCTTCTGTTTCCTCCTTTTTCTATAGATCCATGTGCCCTTCCAGAAGTACTTCAAACTGGAGCCCCTCAAAGCCTACCATCGGGTCATCAGCCTGGAGGACTTCATGGAGAAGCTGGCCCCCACCCATTGGCCCCCCGAGAAGCGGGTAGCATACTGCTTTGAAGTGGCGGCCCAGAGAAGTCCTGATAAGAAGACATGCCCGATGAAGGTGAGTCCTAGGGACCTGGGGGCCCTTTCTGCCTGATCGGTGTTCTCTAGGCCCACAAGACACTGCGTGATGGCTCTTGTTGGGAAAGGCACCAGAAGAGCATAAAATAGAAAGATGGAAATGTAAGTCTCATTTCTGGTATATGTCAGTGGTGTCACTTTGGGCAGCGGACTTGTCAACTGTAAAGTTTGAGCGCTTGTAAACCGTAAAGTGCCACATCAGTAATAACAACTAATGCTCACAGAGCACTAATATATGCCATGCCACGCTAAGAGCTTTACACATATTAACCCACTTAATCTTCAGACTGCTCCATGAGGAAAGTACTATTAACATCCCATTTTATAGAGAGGACACTGAGTGCTACAGAGAGATTCAATATTTTGACCAAGATCACATAGCAAACAAGTGGTGGAGCCACGATTCAACCCTAGGGAAATTGACCCCATTGTCCACTCTCCTGAGTGGTACACTTTCCCATCTTCAGCAGGTTAATGAGAAGCTGTTATATTCTATCAGTACAAATTGTAAACCTGCAAATTCCTGGCACTTTGGGAATAAGACAATCCTCAATATGTCTTTCAGTGCTTAAGCTAAAGTCTGGGGAGGGTGGTTAGCGGAGCCTTGAAATGTGAGAAAGGAGACGGATTATAGTCCTAACACTGCCCTCACTTGCTGTATGAGTTTGGGCAAGTGTCTTATGCTGTCTGGGCCCTAGTTTCCATATTGAAAATAGCAGCAATGGATTAGCTGATCTTAAAAGTCTCTTGAAGCTCTAATTCATGGTCCCATAGCCACGGTCCACTTCCTCCCCAGATCCACATCAGTGCTACAGGGTCAACGGATGTAGCACGTGAGCGGGAAAGACTCCTCAGACACTGGTGAATGTCTCCTGCTAGAAACCAGACTGAAGGTGGAACTGCCCTTCTCGGGCCTCCGGCCAGGAATTACAAACTGACATTCCTATGGGCCATCCTACGAGGGTGTTTCAGCTTGAGTAAAATCGCCCAGAGTTCCCCAGCCACAGTTCCTTGGCCCCATCCCCAGTTGGCTTTCCTTCCCCTTCAGTAAGCCTTTGACCACTCTCTTTCTGCAGGAAGGAAACCCCTTTGGACCATTTTGGGATCAGTTTCATGTGAGTTTCAACAAGTCGGTGCTTTTTTCGGGGATCTCCTACAGCGCCTCCTACAAAGACCAGTGGATCCAGAGGTACTTGGAGGGTACGCATTGCTGGGTTTGGGGAGAGGTATGGAGCCCCTGGGTATTCAGCACCTTCCTGGCCCTCTCCCCCTCTACCACACCCTGATATATGAGACCAAAGGTGCAGCTGTTCTGTCTGCTGAACTCAGGATCCTGTGTGATCTGTTCCCCTCTCAGTGCCTGACACAGTGGAACGTTGACCTGCCACGAGGTTGAGCAAGAGTTTATCAGCCGATAAAGAATGTCATAAAAAGAATATTGTGCAGTCACATGAGTCTTGATTTCCTCCTCTAGGCGTGAGAATCACTCCCCTGTTACCTTCTTCTTAACAAGGTGAAAATTGGTAGCAGCTTCTAGAGAAGAAGAACAACTTTAGGTGCAGACTGAGGAATGATGTCATCCTGATAATAATTGGATGTGTTTTATTAGTTGCCCTCCAGTAGGCCCTATTTTAAAAAATAGGTTAGCAGGGCATAGGCACAGGCCATGAGGTATTTATTAGAGCGTCTGTCATGTATGAGACATAGTACTCAAGGGCCAGAGGTAACATATAAAAATGAGGAAGACCCAGCCTCAACCTTCAGCTAGCTACTGTCTGGTTATAATAACTAACATAGTGTACTTGCCCTTGATGCTATAGTGTGGCAAAAAAGAGCACAGGCTTAGAAGTCAGACGTGGGTTAGGAGCTATAAGAAGCTTATGAATTCATGCGTGGTCACAGCACTTGGCATTTAGTGGACTAAAGGTAGACTGACGTAGGGAAACAAGCATAGGCTCAGGATAAGACAGACTTGAGCTCCGACCCAGCCCTGCTTCTTAAGTGATTGAGCAAATCACTCTAGCTGTCTCGCCTGCGTTTATCCTCTTTGGTTTAATGGAAGGAGCACGACGGTATTTGCCTTATAGTGTGTAGAGTGTATGGCACATTGTAGAGGGCCAACCGGTTTTAGCTATTATAGTTCTTATTCACAAGTTTTATTTTATGTAAGCCTTTGAGAAATTTCTTGAAGTGGTATTATGGTCAATTTTCATGTGACAGGTGAGAAAGCTGAGCCCAGGGAGGTTAAATAACTTGCCCATGACAATGCAGCTGTTGAATGGACATACAGTCTGTATGTAAGCCTTTAATAGGTAATAAGCACTAATATTTATTTAGTTTCCACTATATGCCAGATACTCTTCTAAGACTTCTAAGGTAATAATTCACTTAATCCTTCCACAAGCCTCTTGGGACAGGTGTGATTGTCATGTGTGCTTTGCAGGTAAGAAAATTGAAGGAGAGAGGAGACAAGTCACTTGCCCAGGATCACACAGCCTGAAGTGACAGTCTGGGGTTTAATCCAGGCAGCCTGACTCCGTGGGGAAAACAGCTATGCCATATATATATATATATATATATATATATATATATATATATATATATATATTATTGATTTTTTACAGAGAGGAAGAGAGAGGGATAGAGAGTTAGAAACATCGATGAGAGAGAATCATCAATCAGCTGCCTCTTGCACACCCCCTACTGGGGATGTGCCCGCAACTAAGGTACATGCCCTTGACTGGAATCGAACCCGGGACCTTTCAGTCCACAGGCCGACGCTTTATCCACTGAGCCAAACCAGTTTCGGCAACAGCTATGTCTTTAACAGCTGTCAATTCCTATTTGGAACTTCCCTTCAGAGCTAGTTCATGAGCTACTCAGTTATGGCAAATTCTAATCCCCCTAATTGTTAATCCAGGTAGTGCAGTCCCATTCAATCACCTACTTGGTTCTCTCCATTCACTCTGAAGAACTTGGAGCTATTACCAGAAGGTAGACCTGCCCTGAATGGATAGAGATTTGTCCCTTATCATAAAATGCCAGGAAAAACGAAACCGGTTTGGCTCAGCAGTAGAGCGTTCGTCTGCGGACTGAAAGGTCCCAGGTTCGATTCTGGTCAGGGACATGTACGTTGGTTGCGGGCACATCCCCGGTAAGGGTTGTCCAAGAGGCAGCTGGTCGATGATTCTCTCTCATAGACGTTTCTAGCTCTCTATCTCTCTCCCTTCCTCTCTGTACAAAATCAATAAAAAAAAAATTTTGTTTAATATATTTTATTGATTTTGTACAGAGAGGAAGGGAGAGAGATAGAGAGTTAGAAACATCGATGAGAGTCATCGATCAGCTGCCTCTTGCAGACCCCCTACTGGGGATCTGCCCTCAGCCAAGGTACATGCCCTTGACCGGAATCGAACCCGGGACCCTTCAGTCCCCAAGCTGATGCTCTATCCATTGAGCCAAACCAGTCCTGGCAATAAAATAATTTTTTTTAAAAAAATTAAAAATAAAATAAAATGCCAGGAAAAAAAAAAAGAAAATGTGACACCAGCTCTAAAAGCGGCTCCAAAAGCACATTCCAGAAAGCCAGAAAAAGCACACAGTCCCGGTTGGAAAGGAAGGGACAGTGCTGCGTGAATGCATTAGTTGAGGAATGTTGCTGAAACACCTTTTCATTGCCCCACAGTCATGTTGTAGTTCACTGAGTTGTGTAGGAATTGTGTGACGGCTTGAGGAAGCCAAATTTTTAGGAAAATGAGACTAATAGAGAAGATGAGATCCCTGGAGGCAATTTGAGAATCACCTCCCGAGTGTCAAACACTGGTATGGATACTGGGCACACAGGCAAGAACAAGGCAGTGAAGGCCCTGGCCCTGATGGAGGTGAGTCTAATGTTGAGGCAGTGAATACTTTTACGTAAGATCGCCCCAAAAGACGTGGTGCTATGAAGGACATAAACGGGGTGTGTGATTGGCAGGGCTGAGTGAGACCTTATCTTACAAAATACCACAAATGTGGGGGCTTAAGCAGCAGACGTTTATTTCTTATAGATCTAGAGGCCGGGAAGTCTGAGATCAGGGTGCCGCTATGGTCGAATTCTGGTGAGGATTTTGTGGCTTGCAGGCACTGCCTTCCTGCTGTATCCAAACATGCTGGAGAGAGAGCAAGCCCTCTGTCTCTTGTAAGAGCACAGATCCCATTGGGAGGACTCCACCCTCATGAGCTCATCTAAACCTAACCACCTCCAAAGGCTGCAGCAGTCAGCTGGCGTTCATACACTTGACCTTTCCATGTGGCTTTGACTCTGAGAGCAGGGCATGGTAGCTGGCTTCTGAGAGGATGCACCCCAGGAGTGAGTGTCCCAAGGAACAAAAGATGGAAGCTGCCTGGCAAAAATAGGTGTTAAGTGTCATCCCCAAGAACCGAAAGGTTGCCAGTTCGATTCCCGATCAAGGGCACATACTTGAACTGCAGGTTTGATTCCCCGTCAGAGAGCCTACAGAAGGCAGCCAAATGATGTTTCTCCCATTGATTCTCCCCCCCGCCCCCCGCCCCATCCTTCCTTTTCTCCTTTCCTGTCTTTAAAAATATCAATTAAATTTTTTTAAACAAAATAAAACAGTGGACACTTGCTCGCTGTAGAAAATTGTCCTTTGGGGGTAAGAATATGGGTTCCCTGGCTCACTGTGCGACTCAGCAGATTGTTGCCCTTTTCTGGCTGCAGTCCTCCATCTGTGAAATGAAGGGGTGGGCAAGGTCAGTGGTTTTTCAAACCATTCCTCGGAGTTCTTGAGTCCTAGTGCCGTGGGAGCGTATGGGGGCCTACCTGGAGGGGCTCAGTTCTTCCCCCTGACCTCCTCCAACCAGGAACCCTCTTGCATATCACCCAAAAGTTTGGATGGCCACAGGGCTCAATTTTTCAGGCTACATGTAACAAAATCCAAAATAACAGCAAGTTTAAAGGATAGTTTATTTTCTCTCTCTTTTTTTTAAATTTACTGATTGGAGAGAGAGAAAACATCAATCTGTTGTTCCACTTATTTATGTATTCATTGGTTGACTTTATATGCCCTGGCCTGGGATTGAACCCACAACCTATGCATATCAGAACGACGCTCTAACCAACTGAGCTTTCCAGCCAGGGCAAAGTTTATTCTTTTCTTTGGTAAAAACACACACACACACACACACACACACACACAAACACTGAGATAGTCTTGGCATGTGTGGCTCAGTTGGTTGGGTGTCATCCCATGGCACCAAGAGGTCGCCAGTTGGATTCCTGGCCAGGACACAAGCCAGGGTTGTAGGCTCAATCCCCCAGTAGGAGGCATGTGGGAGGCAGCTGATCAATGTTTCTCTTTCATCAGTGTTCCTCTCCCTTCCTCTCTAAAATCAATAGAAACATTATTTTTAAGTGCTGGGGTATGCAACCCTGGCTGGATGGCAGCACCACTGTGTCATCAGGAATTAGGCTCCAGCCATCCCAGCACTGGCTTTTATCCTTAGAGTCACCGCTTGGGCTAACATGACTGACAGAGCTTCGGCCATCACATCCTTGCCCTCGTTAGCTGGAAAGACAAAAGGAGCAGAAGATGGCCACATCTTCACCTTGAGTACAACTTGTTTACAACTCATTGGCTGGTAGTCAGGGACATGGCCATACCAGCTACAGAAAGTACAGTGAAGTGTCTTTGTTTTGGGCTGCGTGTGTCCGGGCACAGTTGGGTACAGTCTTTTGGGAAACATACAAGAGGGTTACTGGTTGAAGTTGGGTTCTGGAAGAAGAGGGTAAGAGGTATTTTTTCACCACTATGTGGTTTCTGGGCTCTGATGGTTCTGAGTCTATGAATACCTCGGTGTAGATTTAATTCCACTGACATTTTGCCCATTTGCTGATTGTTGTTGGAAGGCTATGTTCCATCATGCTGGCCCATTCTTGGGGCATGAAGATAACAGGTATTGGAGCATGTAGCTTATCATTCTCTCCAGCCACAGCCTCCCTGAGAGAAGATAAACAGGGATATATAATTTTCAGGAATGAGACCTGAAAAATGGGAAGGAGCTAGCCATACTAATAGCTGAAAGAAAAGGTAATTCTTCATAGCAGGGACATTGAAAGCAAGGCTCTGCCTTGTTCGTATCCCTGCACCCTCTGCACTCAGCATGGTGAACATCTGCTGGTCTACACACACAGATATACACTGGGCACATGAGTGGATTCTGTGCATAGAGAAACCCCAGCTTTTTGGGGTTCTCAGAAGAGTAGGCGTGGTAGTGAAGAACCGCAGAGGTTCACTGCACCTAGCCAGCAGGAAAGCAAACCTCCTTTCGCTGGACAGAGGCCACGCTAAGGGCCTGACCTCGGGTGAACAGTCAGGGGACAGATGGAGCTGGGGAAGCTCTTTCCAAGCAACACCCCCCTCCCTCACGGGGAGCAAATGAGCACATCAGTCTTGGTCTCTTGCTGTTTGTCAGGTCAGAGGTGACATCCCACTGGGACAGCTGGGAGCTGTTGAGGAGATGGAATTCACCAAGGGTCAGCAGCAGGGCCTTTCCAAGAGGGCAGGGAGGGTGCAGATCCTGATTTAATCCTCACGTTTCAGCTCTCTGGGAGATCACAAACTTTTGCTTTCCTTTTGTAATCCTTTGAGGTGGCATCGGAAAGGAGATTAGCTGAGACCCTGGCCCAGAGTAGGTTCTCAGTTCTTAATCACTTCTATCACGTGATCTGGTCTTTCTAGTGAGATCCCTGAATTCTTCTCATTCATTCCAAAAATATTTATTGTACCTACTGTGTGTTGAGGCCTGTACTAGGGGCTGGGAATCAAAAGCCCTAGCCAGTTTTCTCAATGGTTAAAGCATTGGGCCTTGGACTGACCGGTCTTGGGTTTGATCCCTGGTCCCAGTTGGGGCATGTGTGGGAGGCAACCGATCAATATGTCTCTCTCACATTGATGTTTCTGTCTTTCCCCTTCCCTTCCACTCTCTCTAAAAGTCAATGGAAAAAATATCCTTGGGCTAGGATTAACAACAACCAAAGAAGAATATGCCACAAACGCAGCTTTTAAAAATTTTTCATATATTTTTAATGATTTTGAGAGAGAGAGGAATGGAAAAGAAGAGAGAGAGAAAAACATCGCTGAGAGAGAAACATTAGTCAGATGCCTCCTGAACGTTTCCTACTGGGGTTCGAGCCCACAATCCAAGCATATGCCCTGATGAGGAATGGAACCAGCGACCTCTTGGGTCCATTTCAACCACTGAGCCATGCTGGCTGCGCCAGACTCAGCTTTTGAGGTGCTCTTTGAACAGAGTGGGAATGAGTTGTAGTAGTTAATAGTATAGTTTCTGGAACAGACTGCCTGCATTTAAATTCCAGCTGTGTGACCATGGGCATGTTATTTAACCTTCCTGTGCCTCAGTTTTCTCATCTGTAAGATAAGAACAATACTACTTACCTCACAGGGCTCATATGAGAATCAAATGAATTAACATACACAAAGCAGTGGGGATATTGTCAGATAATAAGGCTTACTAAAGGATTCACATGTATGTATGTATGGTCTCCAGTTACCATGGTTTGACTTAGGATTTTTTTACTTTACAATAGTGTGAAGGTGTTATGCATAATAAATTACATGAGATATTCAATACTTATTTGACAAGACGAGTGTTACATAGCGCCAGGCTGTCGATGAACACTGTGTTACTCCCTCAGCACTGGCCCTGGAGGAGAGTGTGTGGGAAGCATGCTGAATAAGACTGCTTGTGCCCCTGCCCTCATGGGCTGATGGCAGAGCAGGTAAATGGTTGTTGAGCATATCAGTGTGCAGAAGGCATTAAAGGAGAAGAGGGAGCAGGGAGCCCTCCTGAGGAGCTGAAGCGTGGGAGTGGCGACAAGTCTGGGAAGTTTGGTCTTTGAGGTGTTTGGGTTGGGCGTGAAGAAAGTAGCATGTTCGCTGCAGCACTGTTGCAGGAGTGAAAGATGGGAGCAGCCTCCCTGTCCAGCAGGAGGGGACTGGATGGGTGCCCCACAGTTTACTCGTGCAAAATAGAAAACTTCAAGAGAAGCTAACAGGATCACATGATCTACATGATCAATATGGCCAAATCTCTAAAACATAAAGTTGAAGTTTGAAAAAGTTAAAATAGGTTACCTGCAATGTGGTGTTATGATGACGATGATGATGATGATGATGATAGAATTTTCTTGCAACTTTCTATGTGCCAAGCACTGTTTTATATGCTTCGTTTGTACTAGTCCATTTAATCGTCTGAACAGCCCTATGAGGTAGGCACTATTATCAGCTCTATTATCAGCTCTAACTTGGTTAAATCACCTGCTCAAGTTAACGAGTGACATAGTCAGCATTCTAGAACAAGGCCGTCAGGCTCAACAGCTCATGCTTTTACCATTACACTTCATAAAAAGCACACAATATGATGCCTTTTTATATCAGTCATAAAAGTGTAATCATGCATAAAACAACATTATCTTCTGGGAAGAATAAGAAGGGAAAGACATGATAAAATAGAGCTTTTATTTAGATGTATGTATATTCTTTTTTATATAAATATTTTATTGATTTTTCACAGAGAGGAAGAGAGAGGGATAGAGAGCTAGAAACATCGATGAGAGAGATACATTGACCAATGTACATGCCTTTGACCAGAATCGAACCTGGGACCCTTGAGTCCGCAGACCGACGCTCTACCACTGAGCCAAATCAGTTTTCGGCTGTATGTATATTCTTAATCTGAAGCAAAGTATTAATAGCTGCTAATTTGGATTCTAGGTATATGGTTTATTTTCTGTTCTTTTCCTGTATTGTTTGAAATATTTTGTAATTTTTAAGTGAAGTTTTTGTTGAGGTAATTGTAGATTCATATGTAGTTATAAGAAATAATATAGAGGGATCCCATGTACCTTTTGCCCATTTCCTCCAATAATAACTTTTGGCAGAACTATATATAGTACAGTATTACAACCAGGATATTGACATTGACACAATCCACCCATCTTATTCAGATTTCTCATTTTGTACTCACTTCTGTGTGTGTGTGTGTGTGTGTGTGTGTGTGTGTGTATTTAGTTCTATTCAATTTTATCATGAGTGTAGGCTCATGTATCTACCACCACAATCACGATATCAAACAGTTCCACATATCGATAAGATCATTATGTGGCCAGTTTATAACAATACCTTTCTCCCTAAATATTCATAAGCACATGCACACACACCCTAGCCCTCGGCAATCACTAATCTAGTCTTTATTTCTGTTCTCTTCTCCATTTTGTCATTTTAAAAATATTATATAAATGGAGTCATACAGTATGTATTCTTTTGAGATTGGATTTTTTCAGTCAGCATAATTCCCTTGAGATCCGTCCAAGTTGTTGCCTGAATCAGTAGTTTGTTGCCTGAATCAGTAGTTTGTTCCTTTTTATCGCTATAGTGTTCCTTTGGTTGGATGCAGCACAATGTGTGTAAGCATTCAGTTACTGAACAACATCTGAGTTTCCAGTTTTTGGCTTTTATGACTAAAGCTGCTCTGAACATTCATCTGATAGTTCCTGTGTGAACATAGGTTTTCATTTCTGGGTTGTATAGTAGTTGCATGTCTAGTTTTATAAGAAACTGCCAAATGCTTTTTCAGAGTACTGTGCCTACTTCATGATTTTAAGAACAGGATTTTGGCTAGTGAAGGAAGGCATTGCAGGCAGAGGGCAGAAGTCTGCAGGGATCTGGCCTGTGACAGTTTATGGAAGAGCAGAGTGTTTCATGTTGCTGGGATAGGTCTGGGCTTAGCTCAAGAGGGAACACAGGTTTGCTCCTCATCCAGCACGTCTTAGTAGAGCTCTTATGTGTTCCATTCACTGCTCTGAGCACCTGGAGGCATTTCCTTCAAAAGCGTGAGTCCAGCAGAAAAGACAGGTTGAAGTAATTACAAGGCGCGTCGTGTACAGAGGGGAGAAGAGCTTTGAGGGAGGTCTGATGAGGGGCATCGGTAGAACTCTGGTGCTTTCCATGGGGGCAAGGACCATGCCTGTCTTGTTCTCCCCTGGGCTCCAGCACAAAGTAGGCAATCAGCAAATATGTGTGTAGTGTTGAGTGAATGAGCTTATTCAGGGTACATATTCCCTGTGAGGGTGGCCTGTGCATTGCCCTCTAGAAGCAGTTGCACATCCCAGTCCCGCCATGTGGGTAAAAGGGCAAGGCTCCGTCCAGACACCACACCCTGGAGTGAATTGCCACACCACAGATTGGAAGCCAGCATGATATACAAAAGATTGGAATGCTCTACTGGAAATTTTTAATTGTTAAACAAGCAATGAAGGTTGTAAATTCCAGGCGGCGGGACAGTATTGCATTTTGTGCCTGTTGCCGCCGCCGCCGCCGCAGTGTCTTATCAGCCCGTTGGGATTTCACAATCTCTCACGCTTCTTGCATGTTAAAGGGGCCTCTGAACAGAGTCTCTAGGACATGGTGCAACACCATCCTTTTTCCCGTGGGGGTGATAGCCGGGCCCTCTGTGCATTCTGCCTGACTTCCCCTCGTTGTGTTTTGGGTCTTAGATTTTCTCCAAAGGAACATCCAGTGCTGGCCCTGCCAGGGGCCCCAGCCCAGTTCCCCGTCCGGGAAGAGCATAGGCCACTGCAGCAGTACATGGTATGGTCAGATGAGATGGTGAAGACAGGAGAGGACCTGATCAGCACCCACCTCATGCGTCCCTATGTCGCTATTCACCTCCGCATTGGCTCCGACTGGGTAACTTTCTCCTTCCTCTCCTGGATGGGTTGGACATGTCCCTGAGCAGGGCCCAGGCCTTGGGGTTTGAACACTGAACCCATTGCACAAGTCCCAGCCAAGACCATGGAATCCCCACATGAAAGTTACCACTGTATCTCATGATCCTGCCATAGACACGTCAAACACGTGGCTCCAAAGAGCTTGCTTGCCAGCTCTTGTGCTAAGTTGCCATTTTTATCCTGGTTTTGCAGATGGGTAAACTGAAGCATCAAGCGAGACTCTGGGTCAGGCAGCAAGCCAGAGAGCTCAGACTCACAGTCCAGTAGTGCTCTGTCCCAGCTCAGTGTTTAGTCAATAGTCTACTTGTTAAAAAAACAAGTTCTAGAGATTGGGTGGGGCTCCCAAGAAATGAAGATGTCATCCTCTGAATTTGGAGGCTGTTTAAATGTGCAGAAGCCTCAACAGATTATGCTCTGTGTGAAAATAGGAGTAATATAGTCTCTTTAATTTATGTAAGCAGATAAATATATGTATATGTGTTAGAAATACTCATTATTGAAGACTTGAAAACGATAGAAATTAAGTCAAAATTCATTCAGAGTCAATTGAGAAGGTAATCACATATTTACCTTCCAGACTCCTTTCCTGCCCCACTTCCACAAAGAAAATAAGCCAGACCAGAATACGTTATGGGTAGTTTCAGCCAAACCTTCAAGAACAGATAGTTCTCATCTGTACTTTCTTAGAACATAAAAAGAAAGAAGATACTATTTTTTTATAAAGCTAGCAGAGCACTAATACTAAACTCAGATAAAGTCAACTCAGAAAAGCATATAGCCCATTCTCACTTATGAACATAGATGCACAGATCCTACATAAGAGATCAGCAAGTAAAATCCATACGACACAGTAAAATTTATCCTAGGAATGCAATTAAATATTAACTATATTAACACCCAACGAAGAAAAATCATATAATCATCTCAACAGAGGCCAAGAAAGCATTTGAGAAAAGTCAACACTCATTTATGATTTAAAAAAACTCTTAAACAAGCAGGAATAGAAGGGACCCACCTTAACTTGATAAAGGCTATCTCTGAAACCCACAGCAAACACGTACTTCATGGGAGCTATCAGAACTGTTCCCACTCAAGCCAGAAATCAGACAAGGCTGCCCATTATCACCACCCTGGTTCAGAATTCGACTGGAAGTCCCAGATAATGCAGTAAAACCAGTAGAAAAGAAAAACCAACTTTATAAAAAGCCAATATCCCACAACCCAGAAACAACTGTTACTGTTTTGATGCATTTCCCTCTTCCCTCGATGCTCTAAAAAAAAACACCTAGTTGAGCCTGCCTTTTTCTACTTGCCACCTTTGGCTTCTGGGGTTCCGGGCCGGTTGCTGTTTCTAACTCTGTCCCCCGCCCCCCCCCCCCCCCCCCCCCGTAGAAGAATGCCTGTGCCATGCTGAAGGATGGGACCGCGGACTCCCACTTCATGGCCTCTCCGCAGTGTGTGGGCTACAACCGTGACTCAGCAGCCCCTCTCACCATGGCTATGTGCCTCCCAGACCTGAAGGAAATCAAACGGGCCGTGGAGCTCTGGGTGTGGTCTCAGAACGCCCGGTCTGTCTACATCGCCACGGACTCCGAGAGTTATGTGCCAGAGATCCAGCAGCATTTCAAAGGGAAGGTATGTGTGGGCCCTGTGGGAGCGCAGCAGGAAGGGGACCTGGAAAAGTGCCCTGCGTACCCACTGCTCCCCATACATGCTTTGTGTCCTCCTGCCGTCAGACTTCTGCTTGGACATCCAGGCTCCTTGAAGGCAGATCCAAGACAGTCCTGTTCCTTGGCGTCTAGCCAGGTGCTTTGACCTCCAGAGCTGAGACCCCCCACCTTGCCGTCACCAGTGTCGAGGACAGTGCCTAACACATGGAAGACAGTTGGCAAATGTTTGCTGAATAAGGATGTAAAGAATGGGCCCCACTGGAGGCCCAGGGGAGCAGAGGAACCAAGAGCGTGGACGTGCCTTGGCCAGTGTGGCTCAGTTGGTTGGCTGTCACCTCATGCACCAAAAGGTTGCTGGTTTGATTGCCAGTCAGGGTACATACCCGGGTAGTGGGCTCAATCCTTGGTTGGGGGCATAAGGAGGCAGCTGAATTATGTTTTGCTCTCACATTGATGTTTGTCTGTCTCTCTGAAAATATTAAAAAAGAGAGAGAGAGAGAGCATGGACTCTGGAGCCAGAGAACTTGGGCTCTATTCATTGTACAGCCTTACACAAGGCACTGCCTTTCTGTGCTTCTGTTTCCTTGTCTATGAATGAGGACTAAGAGTAGTACCTATCTCATCAGCGATGATCAGATATAAAGAAATTAAATCTTGCCAAAACCGGTTTGGCTCAATGGATAGAGTGTCGGCTTGGGGATTGAAGGGACCGGGTTCGATTCCAGTTAAGGGCATGTACCTTGGTTGAGGGCATATCCCCAGTAGGGGTTGTGCAGGAGGCAGCTGATCAATGACTCTCTCTCATCGATGTTTCTAGCTCTCTATATCTCTCCCTTCCTCTCTGTACAAAATCAATAAAATATATTTTTTTTTAAAAAGAAAGAAATTAAACCTGCTTGGTACCAAATAAGCACTCAGTTCAGTTAGCTGTCATTGGTAGAAGTTGAGGGTTGATGCATAAAGAAAAGGTCTTTTGTGCTTAATTAATATTTTAAAAGCTGTGAATAGTAGGTATTCAGTATATGAATAAGCAGTAGAACGTATGTGCTTGGTACTGTATGCGTGAAGAGCGTATATCATTAAATGACTGAATTAATAGTAAGCATTCAATAAGACTAGGCTGAATGAACGAAAGCCCTAAATGCTTGAGCAGATCTTGAAAGGCAATGAACCCCTTCACTTTATTTTATATATAAGAGGCCCAGTGCATGAAATTCGTGGATGGGGAGAAGGGGTTCCCTTGCTTTTTTACATATATATATTAGAGGCCCAGTGCCCAAAATTCGTGGACGGGGTGGGGAGTGTCCCTCAGCCTGGCATGTACCTTCTCCAATCTGGGACCCCTCGAGGGATGTCCTACGGGGATCGGGCCTAAACTGGCAGTCGGACATCCCTCTCACAATCCAGGACTGCTGGCTCCTAACTGCTCACTTGCCTGATTGCCCCTAACCACTTCTGCCTGCCAGCTTGATTGCCCCTAACCACTCCCTGATGGCCTGATCGCCCCCAACTGCTCTCCCCTGCAGGCTGGATTGTCCCCAACTGCCCTACCCTTCCTGCCTGATCATCCACAACGGCCCTCCCCTGCTGGCCATCTTGTTGTGGCCATCTTATGATGTGAGGATGGCTATCTTGTGATGAAGTGAGGGTGTAGCACAATGGCGCAAGAACCACATAGACTTTTATTAGTAAAGATATATATTTTTCAATTGATTTCAGAGAGGAAGGGGGAGGGAGATGGAGAGAGGGATAGAAACATCAATAATGAGAGAGAATCATTGATTGGCTGCCTCTGCACACCTACTGGGGACAGAGCCCAAAACCCAGGCATATACTAATACCCTTAACTGGAATCGAACATCGACCAGTGCTCTATCCACTGAGCCAAACCAGCTAGGCTGCCCTCACTTTTTAGCAATTAGTGCCCTCGCTCCCTTTCTCTTTTACCCCAGACACAGGCTTTTACTCAGACACAAAAGTGCTGTGTCAGCCCTGGCTGGTTGGCTCAGTGGATAAAGTGTCAGCCTATGGACCAAAGGGTCCTGGGTTCGATTCTAATTAAGGGCACCTACCTTGGTTGCAGGCTCCTCCCTAGCCTGGGCCCTGGTTGGGTGCATGCAGGAGGCAACCAGTTCATGTGTTTATCTCACATCCATGTTCCTCTCTTTCCCTCTCTCACTCTCTCTAAAAATCAATGGGAAAATATCCTCAGGTAAGGATTAACAATACAAAACAAAAAAAAAGTGCTGAGTCAATGCATTTTGGTCTCCCACCCACCCACTTTATAGAAGAACTAGAGGCTCGGTACATGAATTTGGGGGTTGCGGGGGGGTGTCCCTCAGTCCAGCCTGCACCCTCTCCAATCTGGGACCCCTCGAGGGTTGTCCTACTGGGATCAGGCCTAAATGGGCAGTCAGACATCCCTCTCACAATCCAGGACTGCTGGCTCCCAACTGCTCACCTGCCTGCCTTCCTGATTGCCCCTAACCACTTCTGCCTGCCAGCCTGATCACCTCCTAACCACTTCCTTGCCAACCTGTTTGACACTAACTGCCCTCCCCTGCAGGCCTGGTCACCCCTAACTGCCCTCCCCTGCCAGCTTCATCACCCCTAACTCAACTCACCTTTCCTGTCAGCCATCACCCCCAACTTCCCTCCCTTGCAGGCCTGGTCACTCCTAACTGCCTTTTCCTGCCAGCCTCATCGCCCCTAACTGCTCTCCCCTGTTGGTCTGGTCCCCCTGCTCCTCACCTGTCCTCCCTTGCAGGCCTGGTCCCACCCAACAGGCCTCCCCTGCAAGCTTGATCACCCCTAACTGCCCTTCCCTGCAGGCTTGATCACCCCCAACTGTCCTCCCTTGCAGGTCTGGTGCCTCCCAACTGCCCTCTCCTGCTGGCCATCTTGTGGTGGCCAACTTGTGTCCACACGGGGGTAGCCATCTTTGACCACATGGGGGCAGCCATCTTATGTGTTGGAGTGACAGTCAATTTGCATATTACTCTTTTATTAGATAGGATATCAGAGCTGGGAGACCTTGGAGCACCACTAACCCAATCCTGTGCTTTATCGCTGAGAAAACCAAAGTCCCAGCAAGGGATAGAATTTACCCAAGAGGTGCCAGAGCTAATTATGGGTGTAACACAGAGGGGAGAAGTTTCAAGGCGTGGATGGAATTGTTCAGGGGTTTTTGAGCTATGATTAAACTCATATTATTTCTTTGCTACCATCCAAATAGCAAGATGATGATTGTTGTTACATCAGAAATCTCTGTGTGACACCAAAGCACTTTCCGCCCGGCTCTGCCCACACTGACATCTCAGTACTAAGTTGAAGCAGGTGGAGAGTCCCAGGGAGTTTTTTGTGAGTTTTTCGTTAATGTGCTTGTTATGCCCTGAGCCTTTTGCCATTTTCTATTTCCTGTTTCTGCACCATTGTTCTTGCCCTTCCCTACTCCTCAGCTCCCCTTTCTCCTGGACTCTTGCTTCTCGGTTAAGCCTGGCCAGTGCTGAGCTGGAGATACGGATAAATAAGAGGTGATGTGATCCTCCAGGGCTCACAGTACAGACTCAAGAAAAGAAACTTTGCAGAGATCTATACTATGTGCCATGGGTGGGGGGAGGGGGGAAAGTCTCATTCATTCACTTGCCCCGGCAACAGATGCTTCTTGAAGAGGGCTCCAGCCAGCGGTGACAAGCAGACTGACACAGCCCAGCCCCGATCAGGTGCAGGAGGCTGACACTGAGGAGTAAAAACTGCAAATAGACATGTACTCCAAAGCAAAGGAACATGGTTCTGTCAGAGTGAAGACCCTTGCCTAGACGACACACACACACACACACACACACACACACACACACTTCCCCAGGGAGTGAAGGTAAGTAGGAGTTAATCAAGCAAAGAGAAGCACCCAAATTGGAGGAAGAGCATATGTCAAGGTCCTGAGGAAGGTGGGCGTCTGGACTATAGTGGCTGGAGGTCTGAGAGGAAGTGGAATGGGAGCCTAAACAAGACTTTATTGGCCACAATCAAGATTTGCCATCTTGCCGGGACCGGTTTGGCTCAATGGATAGAGCATCGGCTTGGGGACTGAGGGGTCCTGGGTTCGATTCCAGTCAAGGGCATGTGCCTTGGTTGTGGGCATATCCCCAGTGGGGGGTGTGCAAGAGGCAGCTGATCGATGAATCTCTCTCATCGATGTTTCTAACTCTCTATCTCTCTCCCTTCCTCTCTGTATAAAATCAATAAAATATAAAAATAAAAATAAAAAGATTTGCCATCTTGCCTGGCCAATATGGCTCAGTGGTTGAGCGTTGACCTATAAACTAGAAGGTCATGGTTTGATTTCCGGTGAGGACAAGAGGCAGCAATCAATGATTCTCTCTCATCATTGATGTTTCTATCTCTCTCTCCTTCTCCCTTCCTCTCTGAAATCAATAAAAACATACTTTAAAGTAAGTTTTGCCGCCTTTACCTGAAGAGCTATAGGGCACCATTTGAGGTGGACATGATGGGGTTAGAGGTATCTAAAAAGATTCTCTCTGGCTGCACTGTGGTGAGGAGGGCAGGAGGAGAGGCAGTGAGGAGACAGTGAAGAGGTAAGAGAGGATGGTGGCTGGCCAGGAAGTGGTGTTCCATCAGGAGAAGGGCTCACCTATGGGAATATTGTGGGAATAAATTGGATAAGATTTTAGGCTCTAGAGGCATCGGGCAACTTAAGAGGATGGGTGGATTGCTCTTCAGTCAGGTCACAGTTTGGTGAGGGAAGCCAAGCCTGTCAGTCTAGGGCTTCATGAGAAAGGTAGAAGTTGAGCTGAGACTTGAGAGTATGGTAGGAATTTCAATGGGCAGAGAAAAGGTATTCCAGGCAAAGGAAACTAGCAAGCAGAGGTGAGGGTGAGTGAGTGGTGTGTTTGGAGCTAAGGCTGGCCGTGGGAAAGAGTGCTGGGGCTGGTATACCATATGGGGGATAGGCCAGGGCAGCTGCTGGGCAACCCTTCTCTTAGATGCCGGCCCTACCTCTTAATCCTCTCTGCACCTCCTGTTGAGTCTGTAACTTCAACACAGGGGAAGAGTACTGGGAATATGGCTGCAGGCCTTGGCTGAGCTGGCCACCTTGGCCTTCACCCTGGCTAAAATGCCCTGCCCTTCCTCCTGCAGGTGAAAGTGGTGAGCCTGCAGCCTGAGGTGGCCCAGATCGACCTGTACATCCTTGGCCAAGCGGACCACTTTATTGGCAACTGCGTCTCCTCCTTCTCTGCGTTCGTGAAACGGGACCGAGACCTCAGAGGGAAGCCGTCCTCTTTCTTTGGCATGGACTGGCCCCCACAGTCTCGGGATGAGTTCTGATCTAGGCTGGAGCACATCACCAGCCCAGCTGGTCCCTCCAGCCGGGCCTGGCACCCAGAGCTGCTCCCAGGATTGACCCCAAAGGAGGAGGCCAAAGAGAGAAGCAGCTGCCAAGGTTAGAGAGAAGTACCAGGAACTTCCTGGGGCGGAAGATGGACCATCTCCCAGGGTACAGGACTTCCAAGTTCCTAGGAGCCAGACCGTCTTCCCTGCTCCCGTGCTTCTGGGAGTTTCTCACACCAACAAAACAGTCCAACCACTGCCCTTTGGTCTACCCTGCTCTTTACAGAATACTAGAGGCCCGGTGACAGATTCGTGTACTGGTGGAGTCCCTCGCCTGGCCTCCTCCCTCTCAAAGCGGCAGGCGGCCAGGGAGGAGCCCGAGCCTGGGCTGGACCCACCGCCCTCCCAGCAGCTCCTGCTCATCCCAGCCCTGCTGCGCCTGCCACTACCATTGCTCAGCAGGGCACTGCTGCAGCAGCTGCAATCACCAGTCTTGAGCCTGGCATCTGGCATCCATCAGTCAGCTGAGTGGCGGTCCCACTGTGGGAGTGCACTGACCACCGGGAATATTCCTGCGTTAAATGTCTGTCCTCTGATGGTCAGTGCACGTCATAGCAACTGGTCAAACAGTCGTTCGGTCACTTAGGCTTTTATATATATAGATTAATCATGCTCTGTTAACCGTTGTCGTTGTTTTGTTCTGATTAAAGAAAGTACATTCCCCCTGGCTGGGAGTTGCGCCCGGGACCTGGGAGCTCACCTGGAATTCCATCCCATCCTCCACCTCTGGGAGCTGCCTCTTATCTCGGAAAGATTAACAACCTTGTTGCAGAAACCAGAGGTGCCAGCCCTTCACAAGCCCCCAGGTCTTTGCAAATCCCCAGCCCACATTACCTGTAAAGCTGCCCATTTTGTATACCTTTTCTTATCCCTCTTGTAACCTTTGTCCTTCTACCCAATACAAGCAGCTGGCTTATGGGGGAGGAAAGGATAGAGAGCAGATTCTTGTGGATGACCTGCCGCTCTCTCATACTGCCGGCAGTATTGGAATAAACACTCATATATGATTCAACGCTGCCTCTGCTTAGTTGGCTCAAGTAGTGACAGGCAGTCCAGACTCATTGAATGTCCAGTTTCACTCTGAGCAGCCTAGCTTTGATACAAGGTCATGACTACCCTACAATTCTCTCTCATTTAAAAAAAAAATCAATGACGTTCATTAACATAAGCACTTAAAGTGACCTTAACTGAATGTAGATGAGGCCAGGGGTGGGGTGGGGGTGTTCACTACTTTTCCAAATGACCCCAGACTGGCCCTCAGTCTTATCCCCACTGCCTCACCAGAGCCACTGTCAACCCCACTTCTTTTTTTTTCTTTTTTTTAATATATTTTTATTGATTTTTTTTACAGAGAGAAAGGGAGAGAGATAAAGAGCTAGAAATGTCGATGAGAGAGAAACACCGACCAGCTGTCTCTTGCACACCCCCTACCGGGGATGTGCCTGCAACCAACGTACATGCCCCTGACGGGAATCGAACCTGGGACCTTTCAGTCCGCAGACCGACGCTCTACCACTGAGCCAAACCGGTTTTGGCTCGACCCCACTTCTTGACCCCTTTCCAAGTTTTGGAGTATGCATTGTAAACCCTTTGCAAATGCAAGTTCTCAGTCTTGGTGCCACACAGAGTTCCACAGACGGCTGAGTGCTGCTCACAGGGCACATTCCCTGCATGGAGCCCATGCCATCTCACCAAGCCATCATGGCATTGGTCTCCGTCACTTGGTAGTTGGTGGCCTGTCACACCTGGCACCATTAGGGTCTTATAACACATCCCTGGCTGTCTAGCTTGGTGGGATCCTTCTGAAGGCTGCCATCTCCTCTCCTGCTCTCTTGTCTCAGGGGCCTGGTTGTAGAATTTTGCCTTCAAGTTGGTATCTAGGATCTATCCTCCCAGCCTTTCTCCTGCAGCTGGAACCCTCAGACCATATTCTCACAAGGGAGTGTTTGCTAAGCCTCTGACCAGACAGAAGATGCCCCAAACCTGAGATGCATTGGAATCCCTGTTTCGAAGCAACTTTTGTCCCTTTCTAGCCAATGTTATCTCTGATCCCATGAGACTTAAAGGGTTATAGTTGTAAGTTTCTTTGTCTCCCAGATGCTGTGCTCCCATGACTCCCGAGAGTCTGACTTTTGGGCCTTTTGGTTCAAAAATTCAAGTCTAATTAATACTGCAGATCTCTCACCATCTTGGGATTTCTCTGGTCTTTGATCCTGAGAAGATGAAGGATATTCTCATGAGAGCCAGGCCTAGATCTTCAGTCAGGGACTTTTCCTCAGGTCACCTTTGGAAGAGTTTTTTTGTTTGTTTATTTGTTGTTGTTTTGTTTGTTGTTTTTGTCAGAGCAGACTGATCAGAGATGTTTGGACAGCAAAGGCGTCAAACACACAAAGGTGACATTTATTGCTTAGGGCTGCCGCCCAACTCCAAGCAGGAGAGACTATACAGAAAGGGCTTTTGTATTTTTGCTCTTGGGAAAAGAGTGAAATGTTTTACATGCTAGATGGACTCTGAGAGGTAGTGTATCTATTCAGACTTGTTCACGAGACTCATTCAGAGACGCAGAGCCCATGTGTGCAGTCCTGCCTCCATCAGCTAGTGGGGAAGGCTGATTTCATTTGCTGGATTCATTTGCCCATCACTGTCTCACACGAGACACACGTCTGGGCTCTGAAGGGCCATCCAGATCGTGTTGGTTAGCATCGGCTGTGATAATAGCGTATATTTCTGGGGGAGAGGGCACCGGAGTTGTAGTCAGTTGTGTGTTCTTAGGCAAGCGCTTTATTCCTCTTTGACCCAGTTTTCTCAGCTATAAAATGGTGATAAAACTGGCGGAGTTGTTGAAGGGCTCAAATCAGAGCACATTGTAAATGTGAAAGAGACAAAGGCTCATCTGTGGCTGTTCGTTCGTTTGACTGCCTCTTGCCGCACGCCTACTCTGTGCCAGGCACTGTGCTTGTTAAGTGATTTACGGGCAGTCTCTAATTTAGTCCCCACACCAGCCCTGGTAAGTAGGAACTGTTATTACCCTCTTCCTGCGCAAGGAAAATGAATGCTCAGAAAATGCTCATAATTTTCCCAAGGCCACCACAGGTAGTGGCTGTAAGGCAGGATTTGACCTCCCAAAGCCAGTCCTGGTAACCACATGCTCAGCTGCCCCGGTTCATAGGATGCACTTGACTCCCATTTGGGCTTCTGCCATGGGTTGGCCACTGCTAGGGGGTTTGGGGGAGATCACCCGAGAAACACAAAGCCACAGGAAGTTTATACTTCCCTTGGGTGGTTATCCAACATCCTTTTATTAACAGGTATTTATTGATCAACTACTATGTGCCAGGCTTTGTGCTAGGTCTTAGGGATTCAGCAGAGAATCAGACATAGAGTCTTTGTTCTCAAGGAATTTTCATTCTAGTAAGAAGACAATAAATAAATACATTGTGCCCTGACCGGGAATCGAACCATGACCTCCTGGTTCATGGGTCTATGCTCAACCACTGATCCATGCCAGCCAGGCTCATCATTGATGTTTCTCTCCCTCTCCCTTCCTCTCTGAAATCAATAACAATATATTTTTTAAAAAGAGATAACTTCCCAAACATGGTTTTGTTAGCTAATAGGTTTAAAAATAAAAACTTCCATTATGGAAAAAAAAAAATCAAATGTAAATCATAAGTTATAAAATGAACTCCCATTTTCAACAATTCTAAACATTTTACAGTCTTGTTTCATTTACAGTCTCAGCCCCAAGTCCAGATTTTAAAGGAAATCTAGTTTTGAAGGAAGAGCCAGTGGGGTTCCCTGACACACTGAATGCAGGGTAGGAGAGAAAGGGAAGCCCAGGATGTGCTGAGGCTTAAGACCCAAGCAACAGAGAGAAGGAGTTGTCTCTGACTTGCAGAGTGACCTTGAGGCAGGTCACTCACCTCTCTATCTAACCCCTGAATCCCAGGTGCTAATGGTGGTCCCAGCGGTGTTTCTCAAAGATGGTCTCCAGAGGTTCCTTGGAATGCTGGTTATAAGGCAGATTCCAGGGACTCAACCAGACCTGAACAATCAGAATCTGGTGGGTTGATGCCCAGTGGCCTGAGACCTACTTCAGCTGTACTCAGACCAGCAATATGGCCATCACTTGGACAGCTTGTTAGGAATGCAGATTCCCAAGACCAAATTCCCATAGAAGTGATACTTTGCTGTGATGAATATAACTAGATATTTTAATATATATATATATATATATATATATATATATATATTCATTTATTTATTTATTTTTATTGATTTCAGAGAGGAAGGGAGAGGGAGAGAAAGAAACATCAATGATGAGCCTGGCTGGCGTGGCTCAGTGGTTGAGCATAGACATATGAACAAGAAGGTCATGGTTCAATTCCCGGTCAGGGCACAATGTATTTATTGTCTTCTTACTAGAATGAAAATTCCTTGAGAACAATATATATTATTGATTTTTTACAGAGAGGGAGAGAGAGAGAGAGTAAGAAACATCAATGAGAGAGCGAGTTATCAGCTGCCTCTTGCACGCCCCCCACTGGGGACATGCCTACAACCAAGGTACATGCCCTTGACCAGAATCGAACCCGGGACCTTTCAGTCTGCAGGCCGACGCTCTATCCACTGAGCCAAACTGGTTTCAGCTATAACTAGATATTTTTAAGAGGTTAACATTGGATTTCAGATTTATAAGGGTCTGGATTCAATTTCCTGTGGTCACTTCTCAATAACTCTTTGTCTTCTCAAGTTACTCAAATTTTCTGATCCCAGTTTGTCTATTATGGAAAATAAATGTATACGAGAATCTTAAAAAAAAAAAAAAAAAAAAGAAAGAAAGAAAGAAAGAAAAGCAGACTCCCAGACACCCTATTCCCCTAGCCCTGCTGAATCAGAAGCTCTGGAAATTCTAAGCTTTCTAGGAATCTTAAGTT